CTTTGCGTCGGTACCTTTGCCGCTCGTCGAGCACGTCTCGGCCGTATCCAGCTCATTCAGTCGACGCAGAAGCTTCTCGTCCCCACTGACGGCAAGCACGAACTCGAGATCGTCTCCAGACTCCATCGCCAGATCGTTCGACGTCCATGCCGACCTTCCAGATAGAGGAGCATGCGCAGGACCACCAGGGTGCAGGATCGCGCCCACCGCAGTCGACCGAGAGATATTGTTCGGGAGAACAAGGAAGCTGTTCGCACCGGGTATGATCCGAAGGCCATATCGTTCGCCTAGACTGCAGAGACATGAGATCGCAGCTGGATAGAGACTCAGAAGGATTGGCTTACCTATCGAAGATATGGTTCTGAGCTTCGGCAGCTTGTCTTCGAGCCCACTGACGATCGGCGGATTCCTCCGTAGGATCACCCGTCCAGAATCGCCATACAACCGAAGTCTGGCGCTCTTCAACGAACGAATTTGGTGTTCGTTCAGTGAACTAAAGGAAGAAGTCAGGTGGGAACGATACCACAAGACCAAGGACTCACGTAGTTGAGCATCTCAACACAGGAAGACTTCCACGTCATGTTCAGATTCCCAACCATGTTGATCCACTGGGAGGGTTGCCCGCGTCGCGTTCTCGTTTTGATAAAACATCCATTTTCAGCACTGTAAAATTGGATTAGATTCTGAAATGAGGCAACGGCGGTGAACAACATACACTATACCAATATCAGGTAACTCTTTGGCCACAACACCGAGCGCACCCTGGACAGTCAAACCACTGAGTACCCACACCTCGTTTCGCTTATCAGCGTTCAGGCATCTGAGCACTTCGATCGCTGCTTTGAGTCCGGGATCCAGCACGTCTACGCCCTTTTTAAACTTCATCTTGGACCTGAACTTCTCACGGTCCCACAACGTGCCCTCCAAGTCCACCAGAACCAGCCTTCTCTTGCAGTGCCTCCATTGCACGAGGACGCGTCCAATCTTACTCCTGTCTAACACCTCTACGCTCCTGCTATTGCCGTCTGTCCCCCGCTGATGTTCCTGCCAGGCGCGTGAGCAACGACCTAGAAATCCGGTGACGAATTTCTGCGCGCTCTGCTCTTCAACCCAGCCAAGAAGTTCTTCCCACCTACGGCACCGCCCCTCAGCCATATCTAGCTCACAAGTGTCGTTAAGCGCCTCGTAGATGCCATTCGCTGTACCAGTTTTATCCCATGGGTTAATGCCAATGCAGCTCCTAAAACCCCTGAAGCTCCAGCTACCGGTAAACTCGCTGAGAATGAGTACACCTTCCTTGCCGCGTTCTTTTCCTTCTTGAAGGACGACAAACTCGTGTGTTCGAAGCGCCATCCCTTCTCGAAGCGAGGTAACAATAAACGCGTCCGCGCAGGTGAGCAGAGCGAGGTATTGAGAGTACGTAACATCCGACGTTGGTAAAAACACGATGGGTTGGTAGGTGAGAGTCGAAAAGCGAGAGTTGATGGAGGATACTGTGGTCAATATCTGATCTGTGAGGGCAGAGTTGGGCATAGCTGCGTTCGGTGACCTCGGTGCATTGGAAGGTATCGCAATCTGGATGAGAACAACCTAGAAAAGATTCAGAAATCATCATGAAATGGGATTAAGATGTCCATACCTTGCCTTGGTACTCGGGATGTTTCTGCAAAAAGAGTTCGAAAGCTTGAATTTTTTGCTTGACACCTTGGATCTCGTCCATCTTGTCTCGACCGACAATGAGCTTCATCCCCGCGTATCGCTGCTTCAGCACAGCTATCCATTCTGCCACTTCTGGTTCGCGTCTCCTCTCCCTCAGAAGCGCGACATCAATGCCCATGGGATACACTCCCACGTCGACAAACCTTCCTTTGCCTTCCTGACTGCTTCCTTCTTCCTCGGCCATGAGTTGGATGCCCCTCGGGAGCGCCTCGACGGCCAGAATACGAGAGCATGTCTGCCTGAAATGGCGCGCGTAATTTGCCGTTTGGAATCCCACCAAATCGGCGCCAAGCATTCCCTTCAACAGCTTTTCCCGTACGGACAGGCACCGGAAGATTTCCGACGATGGGAAGGCGACGTGCATAAAGAATCCGATGGGACCCGTCACGCCTGCCGCTCGTAGCATAGCAGGAAGGAGCATCAGATGGTAGTCATTCACCCAGACCACATCGCCTTCCCGCCAGACTTGCTTGATCGTATCGGCGAATTTCTGATTGACCTTGACGTACTGCTTGAAGCTGGCGCTCTCGTAGAACATTGTAGTCTTTGGTGCATCAGGAATGGCGTAGTGCAGGGCTGGCCACAGGACTTGGTGGCAAAATTCGTCGTAGCAGCCTTCAAACACGGCGTCCTCGACCCAGACGACCTCGCTTTCGTAACCTCCAGCCCGAAGACGCGTCGACGTACGCTGACGGAGCGTGTCGCTCCAAGTATCCGTCTCCACGCCCAAGGTACCGACCCACACCTTCTTCCGCATCTGAGGTCGGACCGAACTGAATGATACCGAATCCACGGCATTTTTGAGACCACCATTACAGTGGGCGTTGGGTTCTATATGGAAATCGGGATTTGGACCGTCAAGGTCAGGGGAATATGGAACTTGGTCTGCTCGTCGAGAGAGAGAACGAGAAGAGGTGCGACGGCGTAAACGGCGTTGATTGGGAGTTCTGTAGGAAAGCGGCGGCGCCTTCGCAGGAGACAGCAACTCGCCCGTACTGGGAGATTTGGACATCGATGGAGGTGTGTTCATTTTAGAAAATGGGTTGCTGGACTCGTTGACTGGTGACGTTGGTGCACCTGTAGGATGCCGCGACTGTAGAGGTACGTCAGCATACATTTACGGAACTCCACACTGGGGTAAAGGTGATCGCTCCTGAACGACAAATGCCTCCTAGGCCTGCGCCAACAGGAAATGAGACAGTACAAATGCGCAGCGACGAAGCCTATAGGCATAATGAAATCTGGAAGACAGCGAAAGAATGGTAGAAGGGAACGCCTCCAAAAATGAAAGGTGATTGACAATACTCACTCGATCCTTCAAGTCCTCCACGATACTCTTCAATGGGGCCGGCCTTGACAGCACCGCTGGCTTCGTCTTGTCATTCTGAAGCCTTAATACGACCTCCGGCATGTTTATCTCCTTGGGCTTCAAAGCAGAGGAGACGCCATTGGTCTTCGACGTCGTCCGAGGAGCGAGCTTATCCGGTGTCGACTTCCCTGACCCATCTGTACCAAGAACGATGGTATTGGGTAAGAAAAGCGACGCGATGAGAACCCTATGATTGCGGAACGACGATGACGACGACATTGGACGCTGCTGGGGAACGTAGTGGTGGTAAAGGTAAGGGAAAAGGTGGTGTGGTGGTCGTCGTCATAAGAGATGCGACACTTTGGGTCGAAAGTTGCCGGATTTTCTACACTTAAGTTCCCCATTTGGATTGGCTCCGCGAAATTTCCTAAATCACGAGATTCTGTGATGAAATTGGTCCTGCCTTTTCTGGCCATCACCCTTAGAAAGTGCTCGCAAATCCGAAATCATAGATCCCATCCCGAGTTGTTCCACCATCATCTTTCGTATTTACTTCGGGTATTTACCACGGGATCAGCGGGCGCAAAGGGTGCGAACGTGCGCTCTACCACAGGTGTGATGATTAATCATTAATCATGTATATATACTATAGATAGCTATACGATGGAGCGATGGGGAGAATGCCGATACAACGACAGAACTCGGTAAGCCTAAAATATCTATTAATTCCCGCAGTATGTGTGAACCTTGAGTTATGTCTCCCTTACCAGAATCTGACGCGTTTTCCTTTAATAAACGACTGGTCCATTGATTCGTCCTCCGACTGTTGCCGATGTAATTCCCCTTCGCCCTCGTGTACCGAGCAAAGCTTCTCATAACATTAGCGGCTGACAGGTCCTACGCATCGGTACGACTCCGAGGATCGCGAGTAAATTGCTTGTGAATCATGCGCAAAACTTCTACTCGTGTCGTAATAGAGGTGTGATATGTACGCATGCATATAGAACTTCAAGTCCCGGTCTACATTCAGCCACAAGGAAGCATAAATAGAAGGGTCAATCTTCAGCGTTTACCACTGGAAAGATACGAGATACACTCGCTTGCCAAGACCAACGGGTTCTCTTTACTCCGACGACTCAAGGAGATATGACGTTTGTGTTCCCGAAAGGAAGAGGTAAGAAAAATAAGCTTCGCACGAAAAGTTTCAGAGAGTAAAATGGGACAGAGATAGATGGATGGATGGATAAATACTAACGGACTTAGGCAAGTCCAAAAGGAACACTGGGTACATTGTAGGGGGAGTAAAGCACCATTACCCATGTAGATGTGGGGCCAGCATAAATACAAGCGGAACTTGGAAGAGCTATAATGCGCTTTGTACGTGAACATTAGAGGCATAGATACTACACATGGAGGGGGGAAAGCCTACGACTTGAAAGATATCTGCGCAGAATATTACCGTACTTCTGCGTTAGCTTTTGTTGGAATATGTGAGAGCTTTCTGGCATTCCGGTATTCCGGCATGCTGAATAAGAACTTGGCCGTATACTAGAAATTACTAGAATAGGTGCAGATTAGTATAAATACGAGAAGTCAACAGGCAAACTCTTCAGGAGTTTGTAACCCAAGACTATAGGTCTAACAAGCATTGCACTAGGGTAAAACCCAAAATACAACAGCTTTTGAGAATTTTGGAGAGCGGGGATAGGGAAACAAAGGTGTTCCTATACAGGTGATGATTAAGCACTTTTCTCTGCATTTCTTCGCTACGGCCGATATTCACGGTTCTGGTTAGAGATAACCCAAGCGCCGGCATTTGCCGAGAATGTGAAATGATCGATCGCCGATGCGGCGTTGGGGCAAAATGCCACATAACATGGTCCTTAGGTGGCGGCTGGGCCCACATTCCATAGGAGCGACGGGCGTAAAGTCGTTTTGAAATTCAGAACTTATGAATTGCATAAAAATTCAATGCCTCCAACCCGGATTGAACGAGTGACCTTCGCATAATCCTCATTACTGAGATACAAGTGCGACGCGCTACCACTACGCCATAAAGGCATTGGCAAGAAGCTATGCGCAACTTACTAGACTGACAGCTCACTGAAATGTCTGCTTCCTTCCTTACGAACTCCTTACATTGACATACATGTTTTTTAGCTGTTTGAATGTATGGTATACGTCGAATGGAATGTTACTGCATCAATAGCACAACCTCTAAATATTTGAAAGCTGAGACTTTTCCGAAAAGAATACTAATATTCATGTAGGCTACCGGCGAATAGCTACACTTTGCACTAATAATTGAGTTCATTCTATCCTCCTACAGTATTCCTAAACATTGCTGCGATGTCTTTTCGTGATTTTTGTGAAATTGGATGACTTATGCCGAGTGCAGCTCTCCCGGCCCGGTGAACTTTTTTTGTGGTTGACTGTCATCAGCAAGTCATCAGCTCATCAGCACATCCGCCCCGCTACCTCAAAGCAGCGAGACGCACCGTGCAAGAGAAGTCGTGATTTGTATCCAGTCGATCAGACTTCTTTGTACTCAAGGTGAGTCGTCCACGAGCACGAATCCACCTGGCAAGAGCCTCACAACCCACCGATTCGTGACAGCTGTACATTCGTTCGACTTGTGCTTCATTAGATCGAAACACAGTCATTCCTTAGACAAGAACGTCCCATACGATGTCTTAGGAACCCTACTATTCTTGGTGTGTCACCGGACACCACTATGCATGACAAGTAATCCGGAAGAGCCATGCCATCCAGCGGGCCTTCTGAACATCTGGTGATCACTCTTTCCGTCATTTGATGAGGCAGTGAAATTCCGCGAGTGATTAAAAATGTCCCGCCTTGGCTTCCACCTGGCCATTCATATGCTGCTTTACTTCCTTCTCCTCCCTTTTGTCCTCGCGCTGGCTCCAGGCGGTCCCTGGGATGCGTTTAACTATGCGCCAAGGTCAAAGACTGTTTACCCTCAAGGCGTTTACAAGATCGTAGGTTCGGTGTCTGGTGGCAGCAGACTGGTAGGGAACATCGGAAGCGCGACATTGTCTCCGAAGTCATGGATCGCGCTCGATTTTGGAATCGAGGTGCGGCAAATTTTCACCTCTTCAAAAATTCATGCCTCAAAAACTTTGTGGCAGGTCGGGGGACTTATCTCGCTTAGCTTTGACGCCATCGATACTACGTCCTCAGTATCTCTCGCTTTCACAGAGTCGCCAGAGTTTGTCAACCCGCTTGCTTCAGATGATTCTTCGTACCCGTCACCCAATATGACTTACGATGGCGTTTTTACCATTCCTGCGCCATTGGAAAAAGGATACTGGACTCAACCTTCTTATTCCCTACGTGGCGGCTTCCGATATTTAACCATCGTGTCCCATTCGAAGACTGATCTCAAAATCTCCAACGTCTCTTGTGCTATTTCTTTTATGCCTCACGTTGAAAATTTAAGGGCTTATACGGGCTACTTTTCTGCTTCGGATCCTGGGTTCCACGATCCGGATTTTCTGACGAAAGGTCTGATCCATGGCGCACGATTTTGTACTCACTAACCAACGATGTGTAGTATGGTACGCTGGTGCATACACCGTACAGACAAACACCGTTCCCCTTGAAACAGGCCGAAAGGTCCCATTCGCGGCAGCTGGTAGTATGTCTAATTTCATCGAATCCCTCTTCCTCATCTCAATACGGATCAGGTTGGTTCAACAATGCAACACTCGGCGTCGCAGGTCCGATAATCGTTGATGGTAATATGCCCCATTTGTTGCATGACATTCTAGGGGACTCATAAACTTACAGGCGCAAAACGTGACCGGTAGGAATCTGGTATTCCGTTCGAGTTACAACATGTCCTTGACTGTTCTATAATTCTGCAGTGCAGTCTGGCCTGGAGATATGGGTATCGCGGTCCCTACCCAGTTCGTCTCCACGTTAGATTTAATTCCCACAAGGAACGCGTTATCTACTATGTTCGCTGCGATTAATCCTCAAACGGGTGCATTACCCGAATCCGGTCCTCCTCTGAGCCAGCTCGGCTCAGACACCTATCACGCCTGGACACTCATCGGAACACGTTAGTCTGTGTCTGTGAAAGCCAATCTTTGAAGCTGACCATGCTTGCACAGATAATTATTATCTCTATTCGGGAGATCATGATTGGCTTAGTACCGTCTGGACCAACTATACTCGTGCCGTTGCTTTCTTGGAAGGCAAAGTCGACAGCACAGGTTTAATGGATGTCACTGGGCTACGTGACTGGGCTCGTCTAGGTGGAGGTGGATACAACGCTGAGGGAAATGCGATCCTTTACAAGGCGAGCTGCATGTCTCCTTCCAAGCATCCTCTCTAATGTCTCAGTAGGTTCTTTTGACAGCGTCTGATCTAGCGGATTATATGGGCGACGAATCCCTCTCCAAAGCTTGGGGAGCAAATTCCACTGCACTGAAAGTAAAGTACAACGAAGCATTCTGGGTGGAAAGTGCAGGGATGTATCGAGATAACTTGACAACTACGCTTCACCCGCAAGATGCAAACTCCTTCGCCGTTCTCTATAATTTGACTCTTTCCGACGATCAGAAGGTCTCTGTAAGCGAAGGACTGGAAAAGAATTGGAACGATCTAGGACCAGTGGCTCCTGAGCTCCCGGATACCATCTCGCCATTTATCAGCGGCTTCGAGGTAAGTGAAGTGTATCGTAGACACGACGGCTTCAAAGCTGACAATAGTTCTCGTCATTAGTTGCAAGCACACTTTGAAGCCGGTCAAGACAACCGAGCGCTGGATCTTTTGCGTCGTGAATGGGGGTACATATTATATACGAACCTATCTGTGCAAAGCACCTTGCTCGAGGGATTTACGGCCAATGGATCTCTTGGGTAGGTCGTATATTCCATCGTTTTCATATTGAGCTCACATCAACCTCAGATATCGATCTTACAGAGGATATAATTACGATGCTGCATACACATCGCATGCGCACGGCTGGTCTTCCGGACCTACTTCTGCGCTTACATTCTATATACTGGGACTTACCATAACGTCGCCCCGGGGCGCTACGTGGTTTGTGAATCCGCACGTAAATGGCGGACTTCCTGATGTTGAAGGCGGATTTGAAACTGGGCTAGGATGGTTTGGCGTAAGATGGGTAATGCAGGCTAATCAGTTCTTTATGGAGATAAGCACCCCGGAGGGAACTAATGGTCGAGTGAAGCTACCCACCGAAGGCTCTGTGGTGGTTGATGAAGAAGCTGTCGACATTGCTGCAGATAGGGAGATTACCTTGAACGGAGGTAGACATACCGTGGTCATCATTAGCTAGATAATTATATATCTGAACGGCTCCCCGTCGAAAGTTGTGTAGTTATATGGATGTACCTTTGCACGGCCTCTAGTAGTTACACTTTGGGTACATTGACGATAAGCAAGGAAATGTATGATTATGATCGCAGGGAAGAGAAAACATCCTCTCGTGTTGACTTTCCAAGCGAGACACACTACCGCTACACTGTACAGGAATTATGGACCCTGCAAAAGGCTTATACTAGATAAACAAGGATTTTGGCCCTCGGGCCGCGACAGGCAGACAGTCATCGTGGGAAAGATTTGGGCGGTGATTGCTATATCGGGCTCAAGCCTTCGTCTTCACTAGCCACGATGACAACATTGATGTTGGCTTATTTTTTTTTTATATCTCTACCGCTGGTATGCCTATCATCTGTCAATGAAAACCTATTTTACTGATCTTACGTGTCTTCAGAGCCCTAGGAGAACGTAACTTACTAGTAAGAGCATGATTTGATTATGACACATATTCGAAGGGTACCTCTTGACGTAAGTCGACTTGGACGCCATTTAATAACGAAAATTTCCTACGCTTATTTCCAGCGACCAGATTCTCGGAGGTGTCGTGTCCTCTTCCTACACGAAGAAACACGCTACTATTTGAATATTTCACCCTGAGTATGGGACCCCCCCCCCCCCCAGCAGGACTGACTTACATGGTATGATTCTATCTCATTTGTAATAACGCACATATAGCAGCTCAAAGATGTGCGATAACCATTCTCCAAGTCTACTTATATGCACGTACATGCCGCCGGTACTGTGTTCGTCAAATCGCCATGCATCCTCATTTCGCTAAAAATGTACCTTCCACGTCACGGCCTCCCTTTACTCGCACGTCATTTCAATGAACGGGTGCTTCGCTTTGATCTCATTCGGACCCTGTATTTCTCGCCCAACACGTATACTCCTCAACGTGTCGCATAGCTTCCAGTACCAGTGTATCATCTGGTACCCACACTACGTGGGCCATATAAACTCAGGAACGTGTAAGCCTGATTTTAACTCTTGGAACAAAGGCTCGCACTTACACACCTGTCAGAATCTCCTTTGGCTATTGTCAGAGGTATCGTTGTACGCCAACTTCGAACAGAATGGGTTACATCCGAATATATCCCGTTCTGTCCGTGACAACGAATGTATCTGTGACACATCGCGAGTAGCAGAAAATTGCCGTGCTGGTACTTGCCATCAGAGTGACCCGAACTTCGCCTGAGCGAACCCTTGGCGCCTTGCCAAGGGAGAAGTTGTGTACGTGATTTGCCCTTCTGCGGTGCAAAGTCTCAACTCCTACAAAGGACAAACGCCACGTTAACCATTTCCACTTTTACGAGAAAACGAGTATCGTAACTTGTAAGAGGACCACGTCATTTCCGAAGCTTGGAACCAGATTATCATTGCCGTTAGCACATGCTTAGCGTATCTCTACCGGGATCTAAATCACGTCGGTGATTTCAAGACGTACATGCAGCTTACTTCTGTTCATATGGGTAAAGCCAACCCCACCCCAATACTAGTTATACGTGGATCCAAAGGCCTTGATGTTTCTGCTTTTGATTTCACAGGAAGAAATATGGACCTGCAGTCTAAGTCCTTCTTCTCGGCTACCCCTACCGTAAAACGGTAATTCTGATCCCATCCTTACTTGCTGCTGATGAATCTCATCAATGTTTACGAACGGTGCCTGGTACTCATCAACGGTGCAAGAC